CAAATTTAAAGTATAAAATATAATTATTTTGATACAAATAGAATGTTATTGAGTGTTTACAAGTGAGTTGGGCAATGATTAATCTCGAGTAAAAATTAATATAAAGGTAAAAGTTATTTATTATTAATGTCGGAACCCATGAATTTAATAAAGAAAATTCTCTAATATGAAACTTAATATGTATGTTAAGAATGTATTTTTTGTATTTTTTATTATTACAATATTAATTTTAGAAAATAATAAATAAATAAACAAAATATAAAAATACAATCACCCACTCATTTTTATTTTTAATAAAAAATTTATATTATTTTTAAATAGAAAACAAAATTTAATTATTTACTCTAATTAACAAATTTTATTTTATTTGTTAAGTTAATAAAATTTTTTGATAAATTAATATAAAAATAAAAATATAATAATGTGATAATTGGCATTTAATTAAGAAGATGACAGCGTTATTCGCACAATGTTAGTAACGTCCCAAAATCAAGTTATCCGCACAATTTATACAAGGCATTGTATGAATCATTAATGTTATTAAAGAAAAAAACTAAAAGTAATTAGATAAGGTATTAATTAAAGAATGTCGAAAAAAATTAATAAAATAAATTTAACAATAAAATTAAAAAATTTTAATTTGTTAGTAGTTTAATATAAAAAATTATTTAAAATAATTTTTTAATTCATTAACAATTTAAGATTTAAGTCGCTATTTATTAATTACAAAACACTAAATAAATTTTTTTTAATACTTAACTTTTAATAATTTTAAAATAAATAAATTTATTATATATTTATTTTATAATAATTTAAATAAAATGGTTAACTACTACTCCTATACCAATATAAACAAATGAATCTTTAGAGTGAAAAAAATGTTTTACAGTAAAAGGTGAGCCAAACAAACGCTAGTGCTAGTAATAATTAGAAGAGAAAAAAGTTCAGGGATGGGAATATTGTTGTAATACGTTCACATGGATTAGGAAGACTGTAGTTTCTAGCAATCCAATTAACCTTTGCATCCGGCGTTGAAACTAGAGTAATTCGCAATTTTTTTTTTTTTATACATTAAGAATTTGGGGAGGTGGGTATTTATTTAAGGTGTTAATGGGAGTTAAATTTTTGACTTACTATACCTAAATACTTAAGATTTAAAGATAAATTATTGAATTTGAACGTTATATTTAATTCACAAATTTTTTATTATTCATTAAAAAAATTAGTAATTAGCAACAATGCAACTTTGATTATATTTTATTAGCTTTTCAAAGTTTGGAAATCATAAGGATAAAGATGGGAAATTACAATTAGTGATGGGGCTTGAGGGCGCCACCACGGAGCTGTTGACTCACGGGCTAAGTGGTTCAACAGGTGTGAACCGACGCAACTTCCTTGGTGGTACAGATGGAATTGAGAAAGATGACGTATCTGCTGACCGAAAGCAAACACAGTTATGAGAAGAAAAAAATAAAGCGTAGTGTATCCCACCTAGAAAGAATGAAAATACTCGTCAAAAGTCAAATTGTAATGAGAAGGTAAGACGTATAGATAAGTAAATGTTCTTTTTATAAATTAAGTTTAATATTTAAGTTTGAGATAAATATTTAAGGAAATTAATTTTATTTTTATTTTTATTTTTATTTTTATTTTTATTATATAATGAGAGGTAATTATTTCTCATCTCTTATTTGATCTCGTCCGCATGCCATACGATTTGAATTTAAAATTTTTTATTTTCAACAGAATGAGATTATCACTAAACTCTTTAAGTCGTTGGTAAAAAAAAAAAAAATTTAAATGTATTGTATTAATGTAAATGGTATATTTTTAAAATTACTTAAGAGATATTAATTTGTATACAAATTTATTTAGAGATGCCTTAATTATAAGTACTAAAATATAAATAAGGGACAGACTTAGTATTTAAGGCCTCATTTTTATATTTAATGATTTAAATAGAGTAATTTAATAAAATTTAAACTACATAATAATTTTTTAAATTTTTAAATAAACTTTTTAATAGTTCATGTATAGAGTTTAAAGTTTTGAGAAAAGTAACTAAATAAATATTTTTTACATGAGCTAATTACTAGGAGGTGAATGATGTTCACCCCCTGGTATGCCTGGGTCCTTTATGCACAGATTTGAGAATATTTTAGCTTAATGGAATGGAAATTATTTGCCATTTCCTTTAAAAAAAAAAAAGGGTAGTAATGGGGCATACCAAGCATTATGACCGCCACTACCAATCCTAAAAAGGCTTGATAAGAGTTAGTTATTACTTATAAGATAAATACTTAGGTGAATAATTTCAAAAAGTCTTAAAAAAACTTGAATTATTTTTTCTTATTTTTTTAAAATTTATACTATTAAAATATTTTAAGATTAATTTTTACGATATTTTAAGATCTTCTGGAAAGGAATATTGCATTCCTTTTGTCTGTTTTGCCTGCATATTTTGGCTCTTTATAAGTTTCTTTTTTTTCTTTTTATCATTTGACTGGTGTTCCTTTTCTTAGAAAATGAATATTAGTTGTACTTTGTCCTCCCTTTGAAACTTTGCGTTGGAAGACTTTTTCTTCGTTCTGACTGTTTCTTGTTTTCAAGAGAGGTGAAAGGCTCAAACCAAAAGATTCTCATGTCCACTTGATTTCTTTCGAGAGTTGGATTGCAACCCCGCTACCACAGTTGAGGGGAGACTCAAAATTTTTTCATTACTCTCTTTTATAGGGGAGAGTTGAGTTCAATTAATTTAGTAATTGTTTTAGTTCATTAACTCATATAGTTTAAAGACTATT